AGGATTCTTCTTTCAGCAGTTTACTCAGGACCTTTGAATCATGATGAGAAAACAGGAACAAGAGAAGAAAGATCGCGAGTGGTCGGTCTGCCCTAGCTTAAGTACCCAGCCTTGCCAATGAACCAGCACTAAGTGGAGGAGTCTAATAGGTACAGTGCAGCGGAAGCAGGCCAGAGCCCAGCCCACAGCCTTACAAGGAGTTGTTTACTTCTAACAACTCCAACAGCTGAGTCATCAGAAGCAGGAAGCCAGCGCCATTTTCAGGGTGCAGTCGCCGGCTCCCAACATACTCAGACATTTTTTTTCTTTTCTTCAGTTCCAGGATTGAATTCTGAGCCTTCTGCCAAATCTCAGTTCTTGATTGTTGGTTCAAAAAATACAATCACTTCCTCTTTGTCAGTCAAATGTCTTCTATATATTTACAAATTGCATCTAAGGGTTTTTTTGGCAATATATCCATAATATGCAAATTAATGTAAAATTGTAAAGCATGTATTAATTAAAATTGTAAAGCATGTATTAATATAATTGAATTGATTTGAGAAATTAACTTATGATCAGTTTTTTCTTCCAGGGTTGAATCTTGGTTTGACATCACTAGTCTTTCTGAAACTGTTGAAGACATTATAGCCAAAGAAAGAGAACAGAATGCATTGTGCATGCAGCACCAGGTGTTGACTGTTTTCTTATTCTGCTCACTCTATACTCAGAGAATAAATACTGAATCCTAGAGAACACCTATCTAAGCCTTTGTAATAGAGACTAGAAAAATGTATCTTCCCAAATTTAATTTATTTCCTTGTCCTTTCTCTACTCCCAGAGGTTACTTGGTTTTATGGCACAATTTATGTGCTTAGCTAATTTTTTCCCTTTTAAAAAATTATTTTTGTTACCAAGAAATGTACCCATGGATTCCCACATATCAGAAAAGTGCTATACCATTGATTAACACCCAGCTCCCCACAGCCTTTTTTCCTTCTTATTTTGAGACAGGCATTTACCAACTTGACCATGGTAGCCTGGAACTTGTGTGATCCACTTGCCTCAACCTCTTGAGTGATTTGGGTTACAGACTTGTATCACCATGTTTAGCTGCCTTTTTTTTTAATATCCCTTCATTTTTTTTTTATTTTGAGACAGGGAGGGTCTCAATCTGCTGAGCACAAAGGCACTTAGAATAAACAATTTTTTAAATTATCCATATATCCTTAAACCAGTTAAATTAAACAAAACCAACCATGAAAACTATGAAAAGTAGTCCACTTAATGTTCCCTTAAACATATTGCATCTATGTAGTTAAAGTGGACAAGAGCCTAAGCCCATGAACTTAAACTTGATAATCAATTTAATCCAATATAATATAGTTAAGAACATATATCTTAAAGTTTGTGTGTTATAATATATTGACAAACTAGTCTACACTAAACTGTCAGAGGCATTGACCACAAACTTTAGAGGCAATACACTATGACAATCTTAGTAATTATAAGGTCGAGTTTGAGGCTCATAAAATTGATAATTACAATTTAATAAGTCTATATGCACTTGCCTTTCCTTCATAATATTACAAATGATTAGGGAAAATTACATAGTAATATTTATCCTTATTATCTGACTGCCAAATACGTCTATTAGCTACATGGAAAAACTTCTATTGATATAGTCATTTTAAGAAATGAGATCATTATTCATTTGGAAATGTATAAATAGACAAAAAACTGACTTGTCATCATTTAACTGACATATACTATTAAATATGTGTAAAACTTTATGCCTTTATTATAGTTAGAATAAAAAATAGAAGATAATTAGAATAAGTAATACATAGATACATATTACTTACAAGAGTTCCTAATACAAAATAAACTTTTGAAAATGTTGACATAGAATTATTGTACATATTCCTGGGGCACATTGCCACATTTTGATACATTGTACAATGTGCAGTGATCAAATCAGAATATCAATGACATCAAACATTTATCATTTCTTTGTTAGAAACATTCAAAAACCTCTTTTCTAGATCTTTTGAAACACAGAATAAACTGTTGTTTACCATATTCATTGTTCACTATGGAATATAATAATTTCTCTGTCTCATAATAAATTTGATTGTCCAGTTATTATGTTTCCCCATTTTTCTTACAGATATGATCATATTTTACTTGAATATGCATCAATTATCAAATTATCAATTCCCATTATATAGTTGCCTTTGATTTAGTTTCAGATAATTTTATCCTAGTCAGTACAATTTGTTAAAAATATTCTCAGCTTTGATACAAATCTTAAGGTTAATATATCTCATTTCCATTTGAAGAAAGGATCTATTTGAGCAATATTTAGCAGAGAAATTTTGGTCTGTAATTTAAAAAATCAATAAAATTATCTGAATACTGACTTAAATTTTTAAGATGAAGAAAGAGGAAATAGGAAGCACAAAAGAACATTCTCATTTATGAGTTCATTTTCATTAATGTAAATATGTTATGAAACTATGACTTGTATATATCTATGCTTAGTTATATGCAGTGATAATGTTAGATCTGGTAGCAAAATGTCAAATTGACGAAGAATGTTCAACTCCTGTGACTACTGGTAGCATCTTTTGCTTTTTGGTTTTAATTCTGCTGCAGTTGTCATCTCTTTGTTACAATTTAGAGGTAGTTTAATTATTTATCATTATGTAATAAATATTTAAAAGACTTTTTTTTCTTTTTGAGAATGAAATTTCTGATCTATTATAGAATTTAAGAATCTGTTTAGAATTCTTGTTACATTTTTATTGAAGGAGAATTTTAGAAATACTTCATAGATTGCTAAATTATATGCATCTATACATAGAAATGACCACATAAGTAAAACATACTGTGGTGAACATACCTCAGACTTTTAAAAGTTAGAGCTCTGGTTTCTCAAAATACCTATCTATTCAGAGTGGTCAGGGTTTATCCTTAGAAAAAAAACCGTCAGTATTCTTCAGATTATTGAGGGTGTAGGATTTTCCAAGAGTGCAACACTATACTCTCCATTATGAAGTTTCCAGTTGCTGACATCCATTCTACATGCAGAAAACATGGCGCCTGGCTGTATTATTACATCTCAATGATTGAAAAATACTGAATATGAAAAAAATGTATAGCTCATGAAAATTAATTAAATACAGTTTTAGTTTTTATTAAAATTGCTTTCCAGAATATCTAATCTGTTCCAGGCTATTGAAACAAACCAGAGGAAAGGCAGTGAAAAAAACAAAACAATAAGAAAAACACCCTGAAAATAAGTCATTGTTGTCATGAACTAATAGAGAACTTTTGACTCTTTTATTTCCTTTTTCTAAAAAATTAGTAGAGTATATTATGATTACTCCCAGTAATGTATTATGCACTTGCTAAAATTCACATAAAACTATGTGTAGCATTCTGAACTAATAGTACTTAAAATATTTCTAATTATTTTCCATTTAGTGTTCATATGAATGTTGATATTGTGATTTCAATGTTGAATATAATATTGTGGATCAAGAAGATATGGTAAATCAAAAATCTCATATAATCTAAAAATAGTTACATATTTCCTAACTTCAATATAAATAAATTTTAAAAAATCAATGAAATCCCAGGGATAGGCTTACTTATTTCTGCATTTCAAGGCAAATGAAACAGTTTACATCTTGTTATCATGGAAACTTGTCAAAAAGGTAAGTTTTTCCTACAACTAAAATAAGAACCAGCAGTATTTAAAGGAATACCTTCTTTTATTTTCAATATAAAATTAAACTGGAGTACCTGTTATTGATCCATGTTGGCTGCTCCATTTGCAGTTCAGGGAAATTGAATAATGTAACATGATTATGTGTATGGATTAAGTGTCTTCTTATTCCTCATGGACTCTATAATCTGATATTCAAACACTATAACATGTTGCCTTTGCTTTTCTACAATTCTCTGTAGGGTCACTCTTGTTTACACCCCATAGAAGTAATTTTGATTAATGCTTCACTGGAAAGTAGAACAAGTGTATTTAGACATATATAGTTACCTTGATGATGACGGTTTAGATTCAGTAACATTTAATAGAAGACAGTCTTTGAAACACACAAAGATATGAGATAAACTTGCAAATTGAATATTGAGATATGAGATAGATTTATTTTAGTATTTATTTTTTAGTTGTATTTGGAGATGATATTTTTATTTTATGTTTTTATTTTTATGTGGTCCTGAGGATAGAACTCAGGGCCTTGCATGTGTTAGGTGAGCTCTCTACCTCTGAACCACAACCTCAAACCTATTGGATAGATTTAAATTTTCTATAGTCATTTTTAATTTCTGCATCCTTTCTGAGCTCTACTTATGTTCATAGAAAACATTACTAGTTAAATTCTTGTTTTTACCATATTCTCAGATTTATACTAACAATTCATAATTTCACCCTAAACATGAATGCAAGACCCTTTCCCATTCAAAGCTTCCTACTGCTGATGTAATGAATTACTATAAATTCTGTGACTTAGATACATTTTATTTACCATATTACAGTGAGTAAATGTAGAAGTGAATATGACTGGGCTAACCAAAGGTGTCAATATGAGTTCCTTTTTCCTCCATAGAAGGAGCAGAACAATATCAAACAAGTGTAGCAGAATTTAACTGGTCATTTTGAATGAGTTACACAAAAGTGCTCAGGGGCTTGTTCATATTCTGAAGTTTTATATTTGAAAGCTTGCTATGGTTGCTTTATTGCAGATCAACAAGAATGATATGTAACAAAATGGCCCAAGCCAAGTGGCAGGAAGAAAAGACTTGAACATGAGTATGTACATTGATTTTGAAAGGCATAGTGGGTCTATTGGGATGACAGGTGGGATGGGGGTGGGCAGCAGGTTACACAGGTCACAGCCAAAGCTATGGGGCAGAAATGAAGTGCATAGGTCCTGGGGCTCCCCATGGCCCAGGAGCAGCAGCTTATAGGCCCTCTCTTCCAGCTTCTGGCAGGTTCAGTTTAGTGGCACTCGGAGGTAGGAGGTGGGCACATAGCCTTCACCTCCCTGTTTCTGCCAGACCCATGTCCAGCCATCGCCTTTGTCCTCTTCCATCAGACTGAGGTCCTCATCCTGGTCACAGAGATGCTGCCCTCGCTGGACCCTGTTGTGGGGTGGGCCCAGTTCTCTGCATTAGAAAAACTTGAACAAACTAGCCAGACACACCAAAGCAACTGATGTGCCCCCACCCCTCCACACCCATGTGTTCTCACCTTCAAAGTGGTAAATGGACAAACACTGGCCTATGGGTGATGCAGGCTCCTCAAAATCCTCATTACAGGGCTGGGGATGTGGCTCAAGCGGTAGCGCGCTCGCCTGGCATGCGTGCGGCCCAGGTTCGATCCTCAGCACCACATAACAACAAAGATGTTGTGTCCGCCGAGAACTAAAAAATAAATATTAAAAATTCTCTCTCTCTCTCTCACTCTCTCTCCTCTCTCACTCTCTCTTTAAAAAAAAAATCCTCATTACATGCTGTGTAGATAGGGGTTTCCTGGCCCTCTTCTAAGGTGTGCTCTTCAGAGCTATGTGGGGCAAGAAGGCAGATGGAGGCAGGTCCTCTGTGTCTCTCTTTCCATATGTGCTCTGGCCTCCAGGCTCACCTCTCCTTGTTGACCTGTGAACCATTTCTGCTACTGTCCCTGGGGACACTGGATGGAGGGTTCTGATAACAAGTGTGCTGGCACAGGTTGTCCCCTAGGTTTCTTAGGACCTGGCTCTCAGCCTCTGCCAGCTAAGCCTTGGAGAATGAGAGCACATCATCTCCAGGCCAGGATTCAAAGGTTGGCCCACCCTGCACCTGGATTCTTCCTGAGATCATCCATGCACACCCAAGATGTTGATGAGAAACAACTGGATCCCTGTACCCCACCTAGAAGTAACTTAGCCAGTCTGGTGATGACTCTACCCCTCTGCAGGGCCTTCCCCTTACAATGTACTTCTGTACTTCCAATTTCAGCCGTTTGATGTTGCTTAGTGTTTCTGTGATCTGGGGATCCAAGCTGGCAGGGTCACCCATCTGGAGTGTCTTCTCATACACGCACTTCATTTTCTTCAGAGATTCCCTGGGGCAAGACGGGGAAGAAAAGAATAGTGGGTAAAGGGGCTCCCAGCAATGAGCAAGGACACAAACTGATTACAACTCAAATGTGGGGGCCAAACATTATGGCCTGCAATTGTGGTGTCAGCTACTGGGGAGGCTGAAGTATTAGGATTGCTTGAGCCCAAGAGTTAGAGGCCAGCCTGGGCAATGTGGCCAAACCCACAAAAAAAGAGCCCCAATTCTAGTAGGGCTAACTGCCTGGGTTGGCATCTTGGGTTGGCATTTCCTGGTGGTGTGAGCTTAGGCTATAGAGCACTATCTGCAGACCTTAACCTTGAAAATGGGAATAAATGCATGTGTGTGCCATGTGGGCTGTTGTGAGGACTGGTACAGTACTTGTACACAGCAAGTCCTAACAATTATATATATATATATATATATATATATATATATATATATATATATATATATTGCTCTAGGGGGCTAAGAAGTAGCTCAATATCAGAGCACTCCACTGGCAAGTGCAAGGCACTAGGTTTCATTGCCAGTACTTGAAATGGACAGGAAAGAAAGAAAACTTAGTAAGAGAGTCAGAATCCTATCTGTGCTTATCATCTCTTAGAAAAAACTAAGATATCCAGGAAGTCCATGAGAAGTGAGTAGAATAGAGCCTGGAGTACAGTGGATGTCTGTGATTCTAGCTGTGATTCCTGTCATTAGTCTTCCATTCCCATCTCATCTGTACATCTGGGTAGTGGGAGCTGTAGAGCACTAGTGGAATATGAAAGACCTCAGCTCAGCTTCCATTCAGTTTTTACCTGACCCATGTCACAGATGAAGAAACTGAGACACTAAATATTATATCAATCTTCCCATTACCTCCAGGAGCTGGAATTCATGAGCAGGCTGCCTTGACTCTAGGCATATACCCTGTACCTGCTGCTCCATCATAGAAACCCAGAAACCACCCAGTGGAGGATGCAACTTCACCCCTGTCTGTCCAAGAGGTAACTCGCAGACAGCAAACTAGAACTTGACCACATCCTGGCAAGTGGTGAATATCATTTCTATTTTGTGCAGGACTGGGAAGAGGAATTTGCTGCTTGGGAAAAAGTGAGTAAAGATTTTCTTTTTAATCTGGCAGATTTTTAATTTTAATATTTAAATGTTTGGATTATTAAATAGTTAGCCATATGCTTTTATTTCCTTTTAGCTCTCTAATGTGATGGAGTAGACTGTAAGGCTTCTTGATATTGAACCATGTTTGCATTGTTGGGATAATGCCCAATTGATTATGTATGTTTTTCTTTAAAAAATAACCTTTTTCCTATTCTAGTGAAGGAGACATAACACAAAATTTCCTCTTGTGATTACTATGAAACATACAGTTCTGTGGCATTAGATACCTGCACCCAACTAACACCACCATGCCATGTATTGTTTTGTAGTACATCATTAAATTTTCTTGCCAGGATTTTGTATCTAAAACCAGAATTGAGACAAAATGAKCCCGTAATTTCATTGACTTGAATTCTTGCTCACTGATTTGGGAACCCAGGTTTCCCAGCCTTCTAAATAAGCTGGCAGCTTTCACTCTGTTTGCTAGAAATCCTTGCATGAGAGCGAAAGCAACAGTTTCCTCCAGGCGCATAAAGAATCACCTATAAAACCCCCCTGCTGGTGTCTCTGTGACATTTTTGGGTGTATTTGAGTGTAAATATTTTATGGTTACTTTTTGTCTGTGCTAGGCAAGCACTCTACTACTGAACATACCATTCTTTTAAATATAACCCAATGGCACTCTTCAGTCCCCTGCCTGGCCCCTCTGCCAGGCCCTATCTCTGATTCACCTCCTTCTGCAGCTCCTGGTTGTGTTCTTCTAACTGATCCTGGAGATGCTTTCTCTGCTGCTCTGGGGGCAAGTGGCTAAAATCCTCTGAAGCCACAGTCTGCAAAGGAAAGTGAGGGTTGAGTCTGGGATTCTGAAGCTGAAGCTTCCAGGCGCTGCACACTCCTGAGGATTGAAGTACACCTTCCTCCCCTTCCAAATATCTTGGGAGCAAGGTCATGGACAGAGTGAAGAAGAAGTGGACCCCAGCTGGCTGCAGGAAGCAAGCCTAGGGTCCACCACCTTGCTGATGGGAGGGCCAGTGCCACCCCTCCTCTCACAGTCCTCAATTATCCCATGGCCTCCTGGAAGGATCTGGAAGGATGATAGCCAAAGATTGACTGACTTATTGATCTCACTCAATAAGACCAAGGGGTCATAGACATAGCTGGTAAGGGAACCCATTATGCAAGGCTAAGGACATGACACCCTCTAGGAGGAAGAAGGTTGGGGGGGGGGCGTGACTACCAGTTGGGTCCACGAGGGGGCAGGCAAGGAGGAGGTGAGGGCAGAAAATGAAGATGGACAGAAGGATGACCATAAGTATGGATGCAGAGAAGCAAAAGTAAAAAAGAAATAAAAAATAGTAACAAAAATCCCAATTCAAGATACATAATCACACAGAAAATATGTGTAAGGGCAACACAAAATCTGAGAGGTAACAGGGAGGTCATTAGACTCAGAGAAAGAGGTCACACCTCTCCCTACCCCATCTCCTATATCCCTTGACTATTAGGTCTAGGGGCTGGGACAGGGATGTTATAGTCCACTGGGCTTTCTGGACTCAGTTTAGTAGGAGGTACAGGAGGCATTTGCATAAAGAAAGGCTTACACACAGGCCAAAGTGTGTAGAGGGCCATGGAAAGCAGGAAAGGTCAGGGGTTACAGCTTAGGAGGAGAGGGCTGAAGACCAGCATGGCTTGTGTCAGTGGGAGGGATCTAAGGCATACTAGGGAGTCAGAAGCTGTCCAAGATATAAACTTGTGGTGTTAGGGTTTACGTTTGATGCTGAAAACACACAAACAAAAAAAAATACAAAAACTATAGGGCATAAAGATCCATCAGCTGGATAGAGATCTGGGGTTAGGGGCACTTCTAAAACACAAACTGTCAGTCCATCACAAATTCTACCAGCATATCTTCTCCCAGCATCCAGAGCATCAGCAGACAGATGCCACAGGACAACATCCTGCCCTCCTCGGCCTAAGGGGACTCCCAGGCCAATGTGATGCTGACTTGCCTTCCTTCCCTCCAGCCCAGGCATGTAGCAAAGAGGAAAAGTATTGCGCAGGACTCAGCATTCCTGTGGCTGGGCTCAACTCATTAGGGCCTCAGCTGTCCCCACTCACTGTCTTCTCACACAACATTCTGGGYCCCCACCTTGCTCTTTTTCCCAAAAGGCCAGCACTTGGCACAACTATGGCCAGGGCCCTGGAACTAAGGCTGTCCCTCTGAGCGGGTGTCCAGGCCATTTTCTGAGTGTGCACAGATCACAGGCTGGCTGAAGTCCTCAAATTCCACATCACCAAGGCAGGCATAACCTGACTTGTGCAGTTCTATGAGAATCTGGGTGTCCTGGGGGAAGAAACAGTGGATGGGCAGTCAGGGGCAAGGCCCAGTACCTAGTTTGGGAGATCCCCACAGTGCCCACTCATTGGCCTACTCAGGCACCSACATTCTTGGCATCCACAGCTTAAGCAGCCACCTTCATGCCCTCAAAGCACTTGGTAATGATGAGTAACACCTGCAGTTCCRTCTCTGACAGCAGCCAGTACCCTGACTTACTGATCTCACTGAAGGTGGCTCTAYGCTCATCCTTGTCCTGCAGTTTCTRTGGGAACAGGGAAAAGTCATGAAACATATGGGTGGAGACAGAACAGGTATGAAGCATTCTGTAAATATGATGGTGCCCTAACTGTCAGCACTAGCTCCTGCCCAATGTGGTGGGGAAGACACACTCCTGTAGGCGGAGCTGCAACACAGGGCTGGAGGTTGAAAATGGGTTATATAAGAACTGTAAATTGCTTCAGGTCAATTTGGTATCACTTGTGTTTTGACACAAAGTTATGGAGTATATCTTGTTTTCAATGTTTATTTAGTATAAGTGATTTTGGATCTGTATGTACTTTTATGGTAAATTATTATATTGAAATTATTATTTGAAATAATATTTTTTTATTGAAATAAAAATTTACAGAGAATAGGTAACTATCCCCAAGGAGTTTATTGGTTAAAATATCAACTAGTTGGCTATTTTATCTGCACATATTTAGTGGAAGTTTTAGTTGTTTCATACTGATTGGACTGAAGTAACTTTGTATATATATTTGAGATAAATACGAACTCTGATAAATTTTAAGTTATTCACTTCATAAATTATATTTTTGGAAAAAACCTCATGGCACTTTTAGTTGAGGAAAGTAAATGTCTTATCTGGAACTTGGCCCCAAACAAAGAAGGCACCTTGAGTTATTCATTCTCAGCAAGTAACATTTCTTCCCATACCTTTATTCATCCACTATATAGCTATTGTAAATCAGTGAAACTATTTTGCAGTAAATTCAGAAGATATGTATATCCTCTTCTAACCAGTTCTCTATCTCAATTTCTTTAGAATAACTAGCAGCACCTATGTTCCCAATGGAACCTGGAAKAAATTGACAATAATTTTAAGGAAATAGGTCCTCCATATGATTAGATTGGTTTTATATCCATCAATCAATCATTCAATAAATGTTTTGAACAGTAACCAGCATTGTGTTCCACAGATACATGGAAAGCAAACAGAGAAACATTGTTTTTTTTTTTTTAATTCTTGTCTTTCTTTATAAAATTTGCATTGTTGTTAGGATAAATAAACCAASTTAATGATTGCTTAGCATAGTTATATTCTTCAGCTATTATTTACACTATACTTAGTATCCCAAAATAATGATAGTTAATCTCATTAAATAATGGCTAATTAAYAGGATTTTAAATTGGTGCATTTCTGGGAAGTCCCTTGGAATATAAAACAATAAACAGAGGTACAATATTCCCATTTGACAAGACACAATTATTTKCCTTAATTAAATTAATATTTTCAGAATTATTGTGGGGATAAATTTGTTAAACTGGTGCTTCAAGGAATTTCAGGTTCATTGTAGTGCTTCTAAAATCAATTCTTTTATATTATTGAGGGCATAGAAGCAAGTGCAAGTTTAGAATTATATTTTTGTCAGGGTAAACAATTTTTGAAAAGCTATACTTTGTTTCTTTCTTCTGACTTATAAAATAAGAGTCAAGAATTATCTTCCCAAATGAGTATAAAATATCAAATATCAATATTTACCTCAAACTCGTTAATTTGGGCAAATAATAATTTGAAAAATTAAAGAAACTTGTTTAATGTAATGAACTCAGGGGTGTACTTCTACTGAACTACACCTCAGCCCTTTTTGTTTTGTGAGACAGGGCCTCACTAAATTGTCCAAGTTGGCCTGGAGCATGCAATCTTCTTACCTGAGACTCTGGAGTCACTGAGATTACAGGCCAGCATGATGATACTATATGGAGCTTACATGGAGCTTATGGAAAGGTAAGAATAATGCATATGTGTGTATCTTATACATAAATATATGCTTAGTCTGAAATATATCTGTCTGCATAAACTGTGTGTGTGTGTGTGTGTGTGTGTGTGTGTGTGTGTGTGTGTGTGTGTGTATAATTATGGTGGTGCTAGGTGCTCTGAAGTCAGTGAAGGGCTATAATGCAGTGGGCAGGAATGGCCTCTCTGATAAGGTAACAAATGAACAAAGCATAAAAGTGAGAAAAGGGACCATTTGAATAGATGTGCAAAGACAATAAAAGCAGCAGAAACTCCCTCAAAAAATCAGACACCCCGACTTATCAACTTGGAGTTACAGGACTGAAATCTACATTAAACCCAGGGGAAAAAATCCCAAGTTAAGAATATTATATATAAGATTGACCAAATTATGGGCATGCACAGATATGGCATAATGAATCCTATGATTATGTATATTTACAATATACCAATTTTAAAAAGTTATAATCTAAGTTAAGTGTGGTGGTGAATGTCTGTAATTCCAATGACTCAGAGTGAGGCAGGAAGATCTGGAGACCAAAGTCTGCTTCAGCAGCTTAGTAAGGGCCTAACCGACCTAGTGAGAACCTGACTCCATATAAAAAATAAAAATTCTGGAAATGTAGCTCAGGGTTAGAGTGTCCCTGGGTTCAATCCYCAGTACCAAAAACCAAAAATAAAATAACAATAATTAAAATATAAACAAAAAAGAGAACATCTAAAAGAAACCCAAAAGAACATTATTCATCAAAGACCAATAATCATATTAACAGAAGATTTAACAACTGCTGCAGACACAAACAGATAAAAAAAGATTTCCAAAGGCCTGAACAACAACTTCAACAACAACCTGTCATCCTAGAGATTTATGACTAGTTAAACTATAAATAGAGTAGGGGCAGGAAAGGACAGCATTCTCCCTGAAAAAAAAAAAAAACTATTAAGCAGTTATTAAACAATTAAGCCACATATTTTGGTGCACATCCGTAATCCAAGTAGCTCTGGAGGCTGATAGCAGAGGATCACAAGTTCAAGGACARTCTCAGCAACTTAGTGAGGCTTTAAGGAATTCAGGGAGACGCTGTCTGTAAGTAAAATATAAAAAAGGGCTTGGGATGTGGCAACCCTGGATTCAGTCCCCAGTACAAAAAATAATACATCTGAATAAAGCAAAATGACCCTAGAGAAAAGGTATCATTTGAAGGAGTGGATGGAGCCTGGCTGGTCTGCAGGTAGGTCCTGGCCCTCAAAGATCCAGTGGGCATAGGCCAACTTGGAGGAGAGGCAACAGGGAAGTACCAACTCTGTGCCCACTACCATTGTGATGTTTTTCAACATTTGTCTGACTGTAGCAACAGAGAGGGAAGGTATAGCAGAGTCAGTGCAAGAGACCAAGGGCCAGGGAGGTGTGATGTGGAAAATCCACCCGAGGACCACAGCCCATCTGGAGGGGAGGGGGCCACAAAAAAGCTCACCTATCTTAGTGCCATGAAGGTCACAAAAGCCTTTGATGTCTGGGATCCCCATGTTCTGAACAAGCAGAGATCTGGCAGAGGAAAGGGGTATCAGAAGCTTGATTCCAACAACCCTATCCACCCACCTTCCTGGTCCCAGCCCTTGCAGAACCTGGCTCACCCAGAGTGGCTGGCCACAGACAAATAGTGACTAGTGTTGATGCTCCAGGCACAGTAGGAGTCCCGCACAAGGACACAGTCTGCACAGATGTGGTACTTCACAGAGTCTGCCAGGGGCAGGTGGACCAGCTGAGAGCAGGAGCCAGCAAACAGCAGCTTCTGTGGGAGAAGAGGAGTGAGAGGGTTTGTAGGGCCACATGCATCCCAGGGCTGCTCAGACTCCAAGGAGCACAAGCAGGAGAGGTGCCCACATGAGGAAGAGGCAGAAGACAGCACTGCAAAGGAAGGTACAAGGTCTCAAGAAAACAGGGAGGCTATGCACACAGAAGGCATGAAACATTTTCCTCCAGTGCCCTTGGCTCTCACAATAGCACCAGCATAGGATAAGATGTTCTCCGTTCGAATGGTAACTGCCAAAGAATATGGGGTTACACAACCTCATATTCTTTCTGCCATTACTCCATGTGCTTGGAAAAAAAAAATTAAGTGATAATAGCTGCAAAAGGCAAACAAATCATCATCCAGAGAATGCTGCAAATGTGTATGAGGGTTAAGGAAAAAGACAACACTTCAGGGGACATGGTGGGGAATCAGAGGGTCAGGCCCAGAGCACCACTGGGGACTAGGCAGAAACCAACCCTGGGAGGGCACCATATCAAAGCTGGGGAGGTCTGGTGAGCATGGAGAGTATCTGAGAGGAGGCTGTAAGTAGAGTCCTGGCCCCACATAAAGGTGTCTAAAGAAAACATGAGTTTTCTCCAGGAGTAAATCTGGGAATGCAGCCCTGCAGRGACCAGGGTATACATAATGCTCCTGTGGAGTGCCAAACCTGTCAGCACACACCCTGACTTCCCAGGCTTGCCCTGAGCTGACTTAGGTGTGCTGAACTGGCCAACTATGCCAGCCTGATTTGGGGATAGTAGAGTGGGTGCAATGGCAGTGCATGAAGTCTAATTAGCTACCTTGCTTGGTGACAGCACAAGGCTTTCCAGTTTCCTTATCACACACTTGCAGTTCCTCCATCAGGTGGACCCAAGGCCTCAGGATCACAGCCTTGAGCAGCCAGCCATCTCCTGGAGAAGTCTGGAGAAGGGGTGTCAATGACAGGGAGTGAGGCTCTTGGGTATATCTCCCAGCCCCAGATACACCCAAGAGCTTACCTACCTGTGCCAGTGAACAGCACTGTATAGGTGGCTTCGTCAAATCCTGTAAACTGGTYGGCCACCAGGTGGGTGAAGTTGGTGTTCTTCATGAGAAGGGGCTGGCTCCATGAAGGCTCCACCTGCTGGTCCATCAGTGGGTGCTTCTTGATAAAGATGAGGGTTCTGTCAGCCAGCTCCAGAGAACTGGTGTGACCATGGTGATGGTGCCATTTATTGATGCACTGGTCGGGGTAGGGGTATGGACAGGGGAGCTATCAGCAGGTGGGAGGCCACTGGAACTGATAGGCAACACTTCCTGCCCAGAGGACTCACTGAGCCAGGCTGGGGGCTGGGTACTGGGTCAGTGTAGTGACCCCACTTCTGCACTTTCTCAAAGTACTCCTTGTAGGGACCTTGGAACACCCACTGGATCTCTTCCAACTRGTACCCACAGACTGCAGAAAGGTCCACATTACCCCTGTTGCAATGAGAGAGGGATCTCAAGGGTCAGGTCCAGTGCCCACCTTAACATCTCACCCCAGCTCCAGAGATTGCAGGAAGGCAGGTATCAGCACAAAATG